TTTTTTCTGGTACCGGGGATGGAACTCAGGTCCTTGCACTTGCAAGGCAGGCCACCGAACCACTGAGCTAAATCCCCAGCCCATAGTTTAATTTTTTTAAAAAGAAATGCATACCAAAATTAAATGCTAGTAGTGGTTCTTAGAATGACAACATCTTGGCTTCCTTCAGATCTTATTTTTAAATTACTATGTGTGCCTTTTAATTAGTTTTGCCTAAATGTCTTTTTCAGAAATACCTCTTTAGTCAGCCTCAGTTTTCTCCCAGTTTTTGTCTCTCTTTAAATAAAAAATAATAATTTTAACTCTTATTAAAAGAATTCCAACAATTTAAAGTAAGTACCCATCCCATATATATACACACACACACACATTTATAATTTAGGTGCTCTTTTGCACTATATGCTTTTATTCATGCAATGTTGGAGAGACTGGGCCTGAGGCTTTACAGAGACCTTTCAGAGAAAGTGCCACTGGTAATTTTTATTAGAATAACTTAATAAATTGGTAAAAATACTCCAAGATGAATTAATTTGGGTTTCTTCTACATTCAGAGTATAGGTTATTTTAAAACAGAAACTTATCTGGCTGGGAATTTAGCTCAGTGGCACCGCGCCTGCCTCACAAGTGCAAGGTCCTGATGTTCAATACCTGATGCCGCAAAAAAAAGAAAGACTGACCCACGAAATTGGAAATTTGTCATTTTCTGGCCTTTTCATAAATTTGAAATGCATTATTATTTTGAAATTAGAAAGGTAAGTGAATGGAGCATTTATTATCCTATAAATATAGGATTTATCTTATAAATATAGGATTTATTATCCTATAAATAAAAGGATGCTGAAGCAGCATTTCACCTGATTTCTATCATTTTATAAGTTTTCTCCACTTGAAGTTATTTATTTATTTTTATTGATTTATTAATTTATTTGTTTTGGTACCAGGGATCAAACTCGGGTCCTTGCACTTCCAAGGCAGGTGGTGGAACTACTGAGCTAAATCCCCAGCCCTCCACTTGAAGTTATTAAACAGTGCCCAAACACAATATTTACGATAAAACCTGAATGAATTTCTGCTTACAATTTTGCTTTATTTTACAGGAATATATTTTTGGGAGAGACCTTTTCCAGTTATATCAGTGTTCATAATGATAGTAATCAAGCCGTAAAAGATATACTGGTAAAAGTAAGTGATATTTTTGTGTATTTTATGTTCTAAAAACTTCATTAAAATGATTTGTTTGTTTGTTTTTCTGGAGTTTTTTGTTTTGTTTTTTGGGTTTTTGTTTTGTTTTGTTTTTTCATGATACTGATGGGAATTAAACCCAGGGCCTCAAATATGTTTAGCAAGTGATCTACTACTGAACTTCGGTCCCACACCTTTTTATTTTATTTTGAGACAGAGTCTCAGTAAGTGCCCCAGCTTCTCACTAAATTTTGATCCTCCTGCTTCAACTTCCTAAGCAGCTGGGATTACTCATGTTTGCTACCACTCCTGGCTTAAAATGCATGTTTGATGCTGGAATTTTTAATTGTCACTAATAAACATTGAAAGATGTCTAAAGGCATAAAATGCTTGCATTGAAACATACTTCCTTATTCTCAAGGTTTAGGATAGCTTGGATGAAAAATCAGTAGTAAACAGTTCTTGTAATATGTGTGATTAACATCATAATATTTGAAAGAGTCAGGAGAAAAGATTATTGCAGACTGTATGAGTCAGAGGACTTATTGGAGAAGAGGAAAAGCAAGAAAATCTGCAGAAAACATTAAGATACAAAGAAAAAGTAGAAAACATAGTAGTAAGGCAGAGATATGGGGCTGTGTATGGGGTCTTATAGCAGCAGTCAAAGTTCATTTAATGAGACTAGATAAGGGTATTGTTAAGTTTGATGTGCTTGGTTTCATTGATGTCACATTATTTTGTATTAGTTATTAAGTATAATATGTTGTATTTGTTGTGGTTTTTTTCCTGCTGCTTCTTTCTGGCATCCAGATACTAAGTAAAGGCCCAACCTTGCTTAGCTTCTGAGGTCAGAAGAGATCAGGTACATTCAGGGTGGAATGGCAATAGACTTACTGTGGTTTTTTTGAGACAGGGTTTTGTTATGTAGTTTAGGCTGTCCTTAAACTCAATATGTGGCCCAAGCTGACCTGGAACTCACAGAGATCCTCCTGCCTCAACCCCTCAGAGTGTTGGGATTACTGGCCTTTGCAAATACCCATCCCCGATATTTGTTCCTTTTGTAATGCAGAATTGCTTTCCCACTTAAATGTTTTCTTACTTAGCTTCTTACTATAGAACATGTAGTGTTTAATTATACCCTTTAACTCTTACCTGTTGTTGTGCTACTTTCCTCTTTCCCTTTCCCATTTTCCCCACTTTTTGTTTGGATTTTTATTGGATGATGTAGATTTAATTATATAGCCATGGCAAAAACATGAGAATTCGATATTTTTCTGTTTCCCTGTAATATGAAGTTTGGATGTTTGCTGGCTTTTAGTTACACTAACATAAAAGTTTTATATAATTTTATTTGTTCTTTTTCTATTTTTCTTTTCCTGAGGATATCTTCAAAGATTCACAGTTATACTTTAGATAACCAAAATTCTGCCATCAAAACTTTTATTTTTTGTACATCTTTGAACTTTGAAATTGCGGAAGTAGATTGTGATTTGGAGTTTTTAATGTCTGTTGTCACCTTAATTTTTTAAAAAATCTCAATTGGCATGGGGAACACTCCTATAGTCCTAGCAATCTGAGAGGGTGAGGCAGAAGGATCACAAGTTCAAGAACAATTTAGCAAGACCTTGTCTTAAAATAAAACAGAATACAAAAGGCCACATGGTTAGCTCAGTGTGAAATGAGGAATTTGGGTTCAATCCCCACTACCACAAAAAAGAAATCTCAGAAGTAACTCTGAAAACCTCAACATGCTACCAAAAGAAATGGATTCTATTGAGAAAATACTGTGTAATTAGTGTTCTGTAAACTTTTAAAAATAATAATTTTTATGACCTATACCAGTGGTTCACAACCTTTAGAAGTCATCAAAATCATCTGGCTTAAACCCCCTGGGCTCCATTCCCAGAGTTTCTGATTCATTTGATCTGGCATATTTCCCAGAAATTTACATTTCTCACATATTCCCTGGTGACCCTGACTCTTTTGGCCTGAGAACCATATTTGGAGAACCACTGGTCTAAACTAATCATTCATACATGCATTTAGCAAACATGTATGCCAGGCATGATTCTACATACTGTGGTTGTATAAAGGCTTCTCTGTTCTCTTGAATCTTAGTCTAGAAGTTTTATTTTTATCGCTACTCATGAACATGAACCCCTTAAGTATACCAAGAGCTCCATGGCTTCTAAAGACATTTTGAGCTTTCACAGTTATTTTTCCCAGCTCTATTCATCTTACTTGAAATAATTCCCCCTTTCTCTTTTCCCCTCTGCCAAGTAAACTTTTTTTTTTTTTTTTTGGTGGTGGTGGTGGTGGTAACGCAAATCAAACTCCGGACCTTGAGCTTGCTAGGAGGCACCAGTGAGCTACATCCCTGGCCCTGCCTGTGCAAATCTTATTCTTTCCAAAATCAGTTTGCAAAATGAAGCCTACCATGCAATCTAAATTACACTGCTTATCCCAAGCCAGACCTTCATTATCACTTTATTCTTTCATTTTTCTCCCAAGATAAGTTGCTAACATCCTGTGATATTCTTTGTATAGTGTCAGTTGTCTTCCTCACTTCCTTTCTAGGGATATAAATGGTAGGAATTCCAATCTGGTTTTAAGTTTTGTTTTTAACTGTGATATCTCACTCCTAGAACAAGCACTGGTCAGTGGTAGGTCATTTCCAAATAAATATTCAGTACAATATTATTTATAATAGTTAAAGATAAAGGCAAAAGCATTCAGCCATATTTACATTGCATTGTAGTTTTTGATTAATGTTAACAGAAAATGGGATAGAAAAACTTACTGGAAGAAACCAAGAGACCATTTTTGGACAGAAAAATCTGGGTTGGATATTTCCATTTTTTATCTCTAATTTTGAAACTGTTTAAGAAATTTTGAGCCTCAGCTTCATTACCCACTAGTTGTATAACTTTGGGGGAGCTGTTACTTTTCTGTGCCTTTTTTCGTTGCCTATAAATTAAGAATGATACTACTTACTTGCATAGCCCTTTCTAGTAGGGGAGACAGAAATAAATAGCTGAACAAAATCATAAATGGGGTAATTACACATTATGATAAATATTTCAAAGGAAGGTAACAGCCAAATGTGATAGTAGCTAAGATGAAAAAAAACTAAAGCAAAGTAACAGATGGTGAAAAGGAAATCAAAAGAGGGAATATAATGAGAGTAACTGGGCAGGGGGAAAGTGCTACTTTAGAGAAAGTGGTATTTTATTGGTGATATTCATGTCATTCTCTATGAATAAATTAATTTGTCTCTGGCATCTAATATTGCTTTAAGTGGTTACTTATTTTTATCTTTCAGTGTTATGCACAAATCAATCTCGGTTTTGATTAAATCCACATATATATTTTAAAACTTTTATTTTCAAAGTATATGATTCTAATATAATACCACAAATTTCATTTGTAACATTACTCATGTCCTAAATTTTTTTGTTTAGTTGTAATATATACTTAAGTTTCAGAACTGTTATCCAAAACCCATATGAAAACAAAGACAACAGCTGAGCACAATATTTGTATACCATTCTTGTCTTCTGACTGAAACTACAGTCAAGATTTTATGTTCAAAATTTACTTACATTAATTATTTTACTTTCTCTTCCCCCTACTGTAGTTGTGTTTCTCATTTGTAATAGTTGGGTTCATATATTAACTGTTCTGTTTTAAATTCTTAGAGGCTAATTACTTCTTTGAGGTTGGGGGTGTGCCATAACCATAGATCTAAGCATCAGGACTATATAGAAAGGTTTACATGGAAAAGTAGTGCTCCTCTTTCATTCTTACTTCCTTGTTCTTATCCCCCTTTTCTTTCCAACCAAACCCATGCATACCCTAAAAAACTAAGCTCATTAGGATCTCTCCCCACTTTCTTTCAAGGCTGATCTTCAGACAAGTTCTCAGCGTTTAAATCTTTCAGCGTCCAATGCTGCAGTGACTGAACTTAAACCTGATTGTTGTATTGATGATGTCATACACCATGAAGTAAAGGAAATTGGAACACACATGTAAGGATTAATTTTACTACTTCTTAATGACTGTCACTTATGCCTTTACGTGACATTCTTCTTTTTTGGGGAGGGGTTTGAGTCAGTGTCTCACTGTGTAGTTCAGACTGCCCTGGAACTCACTGTGTAGCTCAGGTTGGTCTCGAACTCACAGCGATGCTCCTGCCTTAGTCTTCCGAGTGCTGGGATTATAGGTATGCGCCACCATGCCCAGCACCACATTCTCCTTTTCTACTTATCTTTATACCCAAGAATTCACTTCAAAAGGAATTTTATTTTCTATTTTTATATGTTTATCAGAAACAAACTTTAAACAAAATACTTTCTTTGTAGGAAAAATAAATCAAACATAGCATTACTTAGCTAGTTTAATTTTTGCATCTACAATCTTACCTGAAAATTAAAAGCGATATCAGTGTTTAAAACTCAACACGCTGACTGAAAGAACATTTTTTTTTAAATGCCAGCAGCTGCTGTTTATAGCATTTATTTTTATATTTACAATTTTTTTGGCATTATATTTAATTGAGCACTCACACTGCCTGGAAAATCAAATACAGAACCAAAGTTAAGACAATGTATAAAAAAAGTCTCAAATTTGTATTTTATATTCTGGGCCTGGTTATGTATTTAAATATGAGTGCTCTATTTTTTCTTTCAGTCAGAAAGACAAATATGTTATCTCCTCTGCTTTATCTCTACTTTTATCTCTTGCTTCACTTTTTTGTGTTTATTAAAGCATGTAATGTAGGTAATATATTAAGTATAAATCATAACTATTTGATCAGTTAATTTTGGGGAAAAGCTCTGCTATAGGTAAATTTTACTATATAGTATATATACACATATTTTTTCCCTGTGATTGGTCTGAGCTTTGGTGTTAACATTCCTGGAGTTCAGATTTCCATGATATCATTATTATATGATCTTATGTAAGTCACTTACTTCTTCAGTGGCCTCCTGTTGCCTTTTGGAAATTCTGGCTTTGTATATATTTTTCAAAGCTCTCCTTACAGTATAATTCTTGCTAACCTTTGTCACACTTTCCTTTCTCTTAGCAGTTATGTGGACTTTTGTTACTTCCAAAGTGTATAGCATGGAATACATTCCCATACAGAGGAATGCCTAAATTATTTTGTATAATTTACAGTTACCTTTTTTCTTTTTTTCTTTTTTATTTTTTTTTTTTGGTACCAGGGATCAAACTCAGGACCTTGTGCTTGTGAGTCAGGGAAGGTGCCACAGAGCTAAATTCCCAGACCCATTTACTTTTTTTTTTATGTCTCAGGAGCAGCGTGACTCTCAAAGAGGCTTTGCTAACCTTCTGTAAAATACCTGCAACTTACAAGTTGTTTGTATCTTTTATATGTCTAGTTAGTTACTGAGTGCTGCCTTCCCCACTAAAATATGAGGTTCACGAAGTCTGCTTTCACATCACCAAAAAGGGCCTTTCCAGGACCTTAACAGAGAACAGTGGTCAATATTCGTTGAATTTACCAATTTACCAATGTAATAATAAATATGTAAAATCCTCATTTACAGAGCTGATACTTTTTTTTTTTTGTGGCAGTAACAGGCATCAAACTCAGGACCTTGCATTTACAAGGCAGGCATGGCGCCAATGAGCTCCATCCCCAGCCCCCGCAACTAATACTCTTACAGAACTATGCAGCTCATTTACCAGATAGAAAACTCAAATTTTAATATACTTTCAAAATCTGCAGTTTTTTATACTATGAGCACTTAGAGAGTAGATTGTGTTTTGATCAACATACTCCTAGCCCCCCTGGATTACTACCATGCACAAATGTAAAGGAGAAATTAAACTACCTGGCCAGCAATTTAACTCAGTGGTACCGCCACCTGCCTTGTAAGTGCATGGTTCTGAGTTTGATCCCTGGTACCAAAAAAAAAACAAATTAGAAATTAAACTACTTAATAATGTTCCCACTTAGTACAATAATTAGAATGTTAATATATTTTCTTCTGATCTTTTTATATGCACATATGTAATAAATACAGTTTTTCTAAACCCTTACCATCCCTGATACCACTTATGAAGAATTCCTCCCTACTCTGGACAGATGGAAAAGTATTATCTCATTATTTTAATGTGTTTCTTTGACTTTTCATGAAGCTGAACTTTTTTAACCTCTTGGTTAGCTAGTTATGGGACTGATACATATATGTATTCTTTCATTCATATTGTGAGAGAGTGATGTTTATGCTTATTAACTTACAAGAACCCTTTGTATATTAACTATCTAATTTTTTCATATTGTTGCAAGTATTTTATCCAAGTTTGTTTTCTGTTAATTGTTTTAGTGTTTTCTATGTATTCAATTTTAGGTGTCTTAAATGATTTTTGCAATGTATTTATATTAGGAAGTCTGTCCTAGAATTTTCTTAAAAATCTACCTTAGAGTAACTTATTTTATATTCAACTATATGGCTATTCCTACTTCAAAAATTCTATCTTATTTTACTAGTTAAAAGCTTTTTCTATCCATATCTACTGCGATATTTTTTTTCCTGCTCTAATCCCATTTTGGCTACATTTTTACATCATTGATAGAAATTTTTTTCACATTTGTCAATGGAATTGAAATATGTTGTATTTACTACTGAGAAATGAAATTGAAATTGATTGTAAATCATTAAGATATCTTTCTGTTTCAGCTTGGTATGTGCCGTGAGTTATACAACTCAGGGTGGAGAAAAAATGTACTTTAGAAAATTCTTCAAATTTCAGGTACTGAATATGACGATTAGTAGCTTTTAGATTCCTTTTATTTTCTTGGAGTGTAGTTATTCCTGTCTGTCTATGAGGAAAACAAGCTCCAAATAAACCAAATACCTAATTACATGGGTTCATCATATTACTAGTAATCTAGTGTCAGACTAAATTTTGGGGGGCAGCTAGGTTTTTTCTTTCTTTTTTTTTATTTGGTACTGGGAGCTGAACTCAGGGCCTTGCACTTACCAGTCAGTTGCTGTGCCACTGAGCTACATCCCAGCCTAAGGTGGCAGGGGTTGAGACAGGGTCCCACTACGTAGTCCAGGATAGTCTTGCACTCACTGTGTAGCCCTGGCTCAAACTCCAGGCAGTCCTCCTGCCTCAGCCTCTTGAGTGCTAGGATTACAGGTAAGCATCATACCCAATATATCCAACTAAATTAAGTTAAATAATAAAAAAATTATCATCTCCAGTGTAATATTGTTGAAAAGAAATTAATTTTTACTGTAAGTTTGAAAATACCTTGTTTTCATAACAGCAAAGCAGACAAAACTGTAGAACAGGGATAAGTCTAAAACCCAGTTACGCGGTGGGTGCATAGTATTTAAATTTCTAAAGAAATATTTAAGTGAAAGATTATTTTCTTGGGATGAGTAAATCAAACTTTTATTTTACAGGACTCCATGAATCACTAGAATTTTAGGTACAATTTTGTATTAAGACACTGCATTTAACACTCATCACAATCACTGTATGTGTAAATGTCAATACACTGTTAAAACGACTGTATGTGTAAATGTTAATACAAGAGTACCACATTTAGCTGGATGTGGTGGCCCACCCCTTTAATCCCAGCTCAGGAGACTGAGGCAGAAGGATTGCCTGGGACTACATAGTTCAAGACCAGCCTGATCTATACAGAGAGACCTTGTCTTCAAAATAAAGAATATCACATATAACAATATACTTGTAGATCTAGATATGAAGCTACATATGTATTTTTTTCATTACTCTATAAGTGGGGAAAAAAGTACTGTGAATGGGAAAATAACTTTACTGCTCTTTTACTGCATAATAATATGAATGCCTTTTATTTTTTATTTATTTATTGATTGATTGATTGATTTCTTTGGTACCAGGGATTGAACTTGGGCCCTTGCGTTTGTGAGGCAGGAGGAGGAACCACTGAGCCAAATCCCTGGCATGAGTGGCTTTTAAAAGAAAATAAAACATTTGATTGATTTTTTGAAGTTTTTATGAAATATGCATATAAAAATATGTAAAATATGTTTAACAAAATATTGTGAGACAACACCCATGTAATTTTCACCCAGTCTAGAAATGATGATAGCCTTTCCAAAAAAAATTCATTTAGGGTTTCTTTTTTGCCCATGAATATTGCATACTCATTAAAAAATCTTTTAGTAATTAAATTGGAAAATTGCTTTGACAAATTTAAGCCTGTCATCTGAAACAAATCAACAAAAATAAATAGTCAAATGATAGGAATTTCCTGATTAATATGCTTTATCTACCCAGGTTCTCAAACCACTGGATGTGAAAACTAAATTTTATAATGCAGAGGTAAGTGTTGGGCCCTGGATGGGATTGTTAATTAAATGTTAATGATTCAAAAACATGAGATGTTACATTACTTACCATAATGAAATAAATTTGATATGATTGTGAAGCAAAATGAACACAAATTTCAATTACAAGTAAATAAATTTTAGCAGTTTCATTCTATCTTCAATTCTACATGTAATCAATGTATTGATTTCTATTCTCGTTAGCATTGTAAGGTGTTCACCTCTTTCATTAAATGACCTTCATCTCATGGTGTGGTTATTGCTTAAAAGCACAATCTGTTACAGAAATTGAAGTTATAAATCTAGATTTAATATTCTTACAGAAAAATAAGTGACAAGTGAAGCTCAGGGAAGTTAGTGTGCCAGCCAGAGTTAGGTTGTTGAGTCTGCTAAATGGCTTGACAAATCTGAGATCCAACATTGGCAAAAAGAGAAAAAGTCCCTTTCAGAATAGAAGATACTTGCTGGGGATGTAGTACAACGATGCCACGTCTGCCTGGCAAAGCCCTAAGTTCAATTTCCAGTACTAGGGGGAAAAAATAAAGAAAATAATCTTTTTTTTTTTTGGTACCGGGGATCAAACTTGGGTCCTTGTACTTAGGAGGCAGTTGGCAGAACCACTGAGCTAAATCCCCAGCCCAAAAATAATCTATCTTGCATCTTAATAAAAAAGATAAAGCAGACATTTTTAAAAAATGTTTGGATTTTTTTCCCAAAAATCTATATTCTAGAGTTACAGAAAATGAGTTTGTTGTATTTTGTTAGCTGAGGCTTGCTTCATAGTTCAGGCTGACTTTAAACTTGCTGTGTAAGCCTATAGTGGCCCCCATGTCACAGTCCTACCTCAGCCTCCCAAGTGCTATAGTACAGGCCTGCACCACCATGCCCAGCAAATCAAATCTCTTGACAGCTGCCCCTTTGTCCACTGACAGTTCTTTTTGTCCCCAAAAAGTATGTTTCATGCCACACTGACAAATTAAAAAATATTCAAATACAGTATTTTTGGAAGAAAATTACATGTATTGCTTTGAAACCAGATGATCAAAAATTTGCAGTCATGTCAAATTCAATAGGTAGTTTTACCCATCAGCACTCTGAGATTTCATTCAGTGTAAAGTTTACATTAACAACTAGAGTTACTTAGCTGTCAAAATTAAAGAACCTATTATAAAAAAATAAAAATGCATATAATAATAAAACTACCTAGGGGAGTACATGGTGAATCTTGAGAATGATATAAAAAACATGAACTACAAGATCTTGGGATGAGTCAGGGATGTAGCTCAGTGGTGCTGTGCCTGTGAGGCAAGTACGAGATCCTGAGTTCGATTCCCAGGACCAAAATAAAAGCTCTTGGGATGAGAGCCTAGAGAGATCTATAATAACTTCATGGAAGAGAAAGCAGGACAGGATTGTGGTCTAGAAGGAATGCATGTTGAGAACACACAAGCATCAGAGTGATGAAGGCATTCCAAAACAGTTACAAATGATGTGAAATGTTAAGCACATTGTGAAGAGCATACATATTTGATGAGAGATTACTGGATGGTTAAAGAGTTGATGTTTTATTTGAGGACTGGTGATTTGGAATACTACTACATCATTTTGGTTTTTTGTTTTTGTTTTTTGTTTTTGTTTTTGATACTGGGAATCAAACTTGGGTCCTTGTGTATGTGAGGCCGGCAGCAGAACCACTGAGCTAAATGCCTGCCCCCTGGAATACTACATCTTTATTTTACCTTTTTGTTATTAATAATATACTGTTGATTAATATAGCTGTTCACTTTGGTGAATATTAAATGGTCTAATTTATCATTTTGCTGGAAAGGGTTTAATTTGTAGTATGAGGGAAGAAAGAATGTTAACTATTCTGTTACAACATATATATTAGGAAATTTAAAAGCAAATGGGATTGTGACAGGGTGATTTCATGTAATTGGCTCCTGGAAGGAATGTATTAAACTACATTAGGTTTTCTGTGTTAAATATATATAGGACATATACATATTTGTAAGTAGTTTTGGTTTTTTTTGTTTTTTTAGTTTTTTTTAGTAGTTTTGTTAACACTAATATTCAGAGTGATTTGCAAATAGTTTTTTAAATGGCTAGTTATTCTTAAATATTACAGAAATGACATGCTGTCCTTGAAGAAAAAAACCACATTTCCACCACACCAAGTAATTGATTTTTATATTAATCTATCTATATTCTTTTAATCTTTATACATTTTTATATAACATTCTGTTTTGATAATCATAATCACTATTTTGTTACCTTTTTTAGTTAATATTATATTTCAACATAATCTTTAAACTTTGCCCACAAACTTCAACTAAAAAATGCTTACTAAACTTCTGAACTTCAGAAAATAAGTATGTCTTTAAAAACCAAGAGTGAGCAGATAACATTTAAGGTCTCTAAGATTCTCGATATTACTTGTCAGGAAAACAAATGATGCTAAGCAGATTCTCCTGACCCTAAATAGGTATTTTAGGCAGGTTCTAGGAGTTACTAAACCACACCTTTATCAGTAGGTAATACTCATTACTCTGCTATAGTGATCATGTAACAACTCTTTGTAGCCTCATATAAATCTCAAACATGTTTTTGATGTGTTTGACAATGCTGCTGATGTGTGGGGAAAAAAAACCAAGATTCACGTTCTCAGTCCTCAGAAAACTTTCATCCATTGGAGTTTGACATAACTACAGTATAAACACACACACACACACACACACACACACACACACACACCCCAAATCATGACCTGCACTCATGCTGTGAAAGTACAGAGGTAGAAAATTTTCAACTATGAGCTTAATGAAGGAGGTCACACTTGACATTGCCCTTGATAAATAAGTAAATTAAAACATAAAAAAACTAACTGAAATTTATAAACAAAAAGACAAACTCAGTTATCTAATGTGGTCTAGTCCAGCACTTCTGGAAATGTGGTCCAGGGAACTCTAATCTCTCAAGATACTCCTTCTACAAAGGATTCCATAGTGATACAAATATAGGAAAAGCTATATAATATATGTCTGTTCTGAATGTGGGAATGGTGTATATCCATTCCAATTATTTATGAAGAATTACAGTATAGCACAGAATTTATAGAGAACTAGTAAGGCATATATGTAACTGCCCCAAAATATGCCCCTCACTACTTTCTTTTGAGTATTCAGCTGTAGTATTCTTCTTTATTCCTTTGTCATTTAACCTTAGAAGTTTCATCTTTTAAAAAAGCAATTTGTCATATTTCTTTGATGCTTCCTGTTTACTTTCTTATTTACTAATATTATTTAGTAAGTTAAAAATGCAGAAATGCATTTTAAGTTATTCTTTTTCTTTAACATTTAACTCTGATTTTTCTAATTATTCTTTTTTATTTTTCCATTAGAGTGACCTCAGTTCTGTGGTAATTTGATTTTTTATTATAAATATATATGCTTTTATTACTTACCACTTTTTTACTCTGCCTAATAATCTATCTACAAAACATAATGGAAAAACAGTTAGTTGTGAATATCACCTATGTGAAATCAGGAAAAAAAAATAATTTGAATATACTTTTTTATCAGTTGTCTTATGTGGAAAAATTAGATCAAAAGTTCAGTTGACATACTGAAACAATTGTATGCACAATTTTAGTGGTTTTTTTTTTTCTTAAGGTGTTTTTAAAATAAGCATGTTAAGCTTGTTTAAAATAATTGGGACTTTGAACATTTTTCTGTAGAATACCCTCCTGTCCTTCAACTGTTTGAGGAGACTATAAAATTCTTTTTCAGATGCACAGACAATTGTTTTAGTTTTAATTTTGGATCAGGTAAAGCAGGCCTTTTGATAAATGAAAGTAGAAGAAAAGCAAGTTTTTCTAAGTTGACTAAAATCTTTTTTCAGTTTTTAATTTACAATAAGCATTTGCTTATATATTTTATGTAATAATAACAACTTTAGCACTAAATTCTTGTCTTTATTTTTGAAGCATCATATTACTTACTACTAACTGTTTAAACTAACTTGGTTTTCCATTATGTTGCTTGTTTCTTTTTCATTTTACCCAAATTCTTCCTAAATTTATGCAGAAAATTATATTTCTTAAATGGAAATGTGGGTCTGTGGTTTTAAAAAGCAATGGATTTATGGGATATAAATTTCCTTAAGTAACAGAATAATGCCTTAAATACTATCTTGTTTTAATAAATCATTGTATTTGTTTTCATTTGAGCACATATTATTTGAATCCTGAGAGTATCCTGTATTTTAGACATACTAAATTATACCTTCATTATATTTTTGCACAGTTTCCATTTTCTGGTTTTCGTGATATGAAAAGCCCATAAATCCCCAATTTTTTGGTCCTGTTTATTTTCTGTTATTTCTCTCTGTGTTTGTGTGTGTATATATACAGTCATACCTCAGTACTCTCTGGCTTCAGAACTCAACCTACTTGTCAAATTTTGACAAGAAAAAATACGTTTCAGCACTGGGACAGGCATTGAAGATATAAAAAATTGCTTTTTAAATACATGTCTCTTTACTTTTAAAATTCCGTATTAAAAAACAACCTCATTACTTAATATTAGCCCAGTAAAATGTGAAAGTTCTGGGGAGCTTTCACAGATGATTTATAATTACATTATTTCTTTGAGGGGAAAATTTGTTTGCTGTTTATGGGTTTTGGCACTTATCACAAGTTCTGGAATGCATTACTGACAGGTATCTAGGTACCACTGTCTGTCTGTCTACCTATGTATCTGTATGTATTTGTATATATATACACACACACACACACACACACACTTTAAATATATATAGAGATAGAGATATTTATATGAAAAAGTGATTCTTAGGTACCCTCGGTATATCTTTTTTTATATTGGTTTAAAAAAACAAAGCTGTATTTTTTTCAATAACAGAAGAAAATAATAACCAAAAGGCAGGTGAACTATGTTTTTTAGCATAAATAACCAGGGAACTTCAAAGATTTATTTAAAAAAAATTTTTTTGAAAAAAAAATTTTTTTTTGAGACAGTGTCTCAGTATGTAGTTCAGGCTGGCCTTGAACTCAAGGTGATCCTCCTAACTCAACCTGTTGAGTGCTGGAATTACAAGTGCACCACCATGCCTGGCCAATTAAATATTTAAATGTTAAATATTTAAATTACATGATTGAATTATTACTGAATATCATCAGTTTTTAAATCTATCACTAAAACTACTGAATATTTTTGCTTGACTTAAAAGCTCTAAGAATATCAGGTACAATTCACATGCTCTTTGTTTTTTGTTTTGTTTTTGGTGTTTTGAGACAAGGTCTCACTATGTAGTTGAGACTGACCTGGAACTCACTATGTATCCCATGCTGGTCTCGAACTCACAGTGATCCTCCTGCCTCAGCCTCAAGTTCTGGGAGTGCTGGGATTACAGGTGTGCGTCACCACACCCAGCTCTGTTTGTTTGTTTTTGGAGATAGGGTCTCTCTGTGTAGTTCAGTTCACACTGGCTTTGAACTCACTATGTAGCTAAGGATGGCCTAAAATTGTCAGTGATCCTCCTGCCTCAGACTACTCAGTGCTGGAATTACAGGCATGTGCTATCATGCCTGGTGACTTACTCTTTTTTAGCCCTGAATATACATTTAAAATGCACCAAGAAATTGCTGATGACCAGATTATAAAATAGATTGTTCATAGTACTAATGGTCACTAGACTACAGTTGAAGTAGTATGACTATTTAAGTCATATGCTGGAATATTATTATGAATATATAATTATTTTAGTGTAATACTGAAATTATAAATGCTGAAGTATACTCATACTAAAGTTCCTTATAGCATCTTACTAGTAGATATAGGAGTTTTGTACATCACATTCCAATTAAGCAAATATTTTTGGATGTTAATACAAACCACATATTATCCCACATCCATTGTTTAACCAAGGTTTCAGTTGACTAACACTTGACTTTGCCTATTAATTATGTTAAGATGAAGACTTCTTTTCTTGCATTAATTATGATAACTTTGATTTTTAGGCATGAACTAATCACATTGGTGGTTAATAAATTTTCTTCACATAAATATTTGTTGAGATAAATATTTTAAGTACCATGACATTTTGGTGGATTTTTTTTTTTTTTTCATCAGACTGATGAAGTATTTCTTGAAGCCCAGATTCAGAATATTACAACCTCACCCATGTTTATGGAGAAAGTGTCATTGGAGCCATCTATAATGTACAGTGTAACAGAATTAAATTCAGTCAGCCAAGCTGGAGAATGGTAAATATTAATTACAAAATATTGTTGTAAAGGATGCAGGCATTTTAAACCTCCATTATTCTTGAATTTTTTTTTAATATATTTATGAGACTGGGGTTTTTTTGTTGGTGGTAGTAGGTTTTTTGGTTTTGAGTTTTGACAGTATCAGGGATCAAACTCAGGGTCTTTGCACTGAACTCCATCCTCAGCACTGTTTTTAAATTTTATTTTACTTTGGGACAGGATTTCATTCAGTGTTATGGCTTGTATCTAGATGTCCCCCAAAGTCTCATGTCACAGGTGGGGCTTTTCAGAGGATGCTGGATCTAGGGTGTGTTATGCTGGGATTAAGGTGTGTGGTTATTAAATTATTTCACTGATTTAGCATAGCTCTTGGTGTGGATAATGGGAAAGCTCATTTTGGGTGTGTGGCACTGCCCAACAAGTGGGTAGCCTAGAGGGAATAAAATGGAGATGCAGGCTGCTGCTGCTGCTTGCTGCCTTGCTGCCTTCTGTCTGCCATGAATTGTTTCTCCTGTACAATGCTCCTTGCCATGCCGCCCTGCCTTGGAGCCAGCCAAGTATGAACTAAAACCTCTACAAACTGTGAGCTACAATAAGCCTTTCCTTTTTTAACTTTCATTGTTGAGTACTCTTGTCTCAGAAATGAGAAAAGAAACCAATACATTAAGTCACTATGTTGCCCATGCTGCACTTTGAACTTGTGATTCTCTTGTCTCAGCCTCCCAAAGTGCTGGGATTACAAGTTTGTACTACCACACCTGGAAAGACTTGGCTTTTTTAGGAGTTTTAAGTCACAGAAAAATTCCATTTAAAAGAGTTCTTTTACTATAAGTAATGGACCCATGTTGACTTTTCCCCCCAGTACTGGGCATTGAACCCAGGGCTTTCACACTGAACTACAGCTCCATCCCATTTATTATTTCCTAGTTGGACACTGGATTCCCCTAAATGGCTAACTTGTCCTGGCTGGACTTGTAATTGTGCCTCAGCCTCCCAAGGTGCTGGGATTACAGGCCTGCACCACAAGCCCCACTGATACACATCTTTAAATTAATAGTTCACATTAGTCCACTGTATGTGTTACTGTATTTTGACTATATTGTAAACAGTGGTTTCATTCTCCTAAAAATGTCTTCGCTCTGCCTATTCATCCCACTTTCCACATAGAAATAAAAACTAGCAAGTCAGGTTAGGTGAATGTGAGTTTGAAAAAGAAATGCTATTCAAGAAAAAAGGAGTAGACATAATAGATCAGTTTAAGCTGGGCACTGTGGCACAATCCTTTAATGGGAGGTTGTTTTTTTCCAGATCTTTTATTTTGAAAATCATTCCTTAGTTTAGAATTATATTTCTCAGCTCTGAAGAGCGCTCCATGGGTGTATCTCCATGTTAGAGTAGTTGCCTTAGCATGTGTGAGGCTCTAGGGCTAATCCATAGCACTGTTATTTTAAAAAACAAACAAAAAAGATCTTATTCTATTTTTAAAATATTTTTTTTTAAAAGGGAGAAGAAGGCCAGGGATTTGGCTCAGGGGTTCTGCCATCTGCCTCACAAGTGCATGGACCCAAGTTCAATCCCTGGCACCAAAAAAAAAAAAAAACAAGGGACAAGATACTTAAGGTTCTGATTCCTATTGTACTTTTCATTTACCTGATACAAAGCCAAGATTTTAGGCGATATATTCATTCTCTTGTAAAGAACTTCAAGATTTTTTCAAGTTAGCTGGCCATGGTGGCACAGTGGTGGACACTTACAATCCTGTTACTAGGGAGGATGAGGCAGGAGTATCATCGAGAGTTCAAGGCCAATCTGAACTACATAGCAGGACTGTCTATAAAAGGGGGGCGTGTTAAAGTACTCAGTGCAAGTCCATTTTATTTGTATTGAGAGCTCGGACCTCATTTATTCTTGATCTTTGAGTGGTCTATTACCAATTTCTATTCAAAAGGAACTATCACATCCATGGCTTTTCTTTCAAAAGATGCTTGAGAATTTTCACCCATCTCTTATCTGTACCTGTCTCAGTGTGTCCACATTTGGGTCAAGAGCATATCTGCAGCCAATGGATACACGCCAGTACTTATATTGCCTAAAACCCAAGAAGGAGTTTGCAGAAAAAGCAGGCATCATTAAAGGAGTAACAGTAATCGGAAAATTGGATATAGTATGGAAAACAAATCTAGGTGAAAGGGGAAGGTTACAAACCAGCCAACTTCAAAGAATGGTGAGTCAAGAAAATCTTCCATGGAGGGTTTGGTATGTGGTAAGGAGGCATTTAAAGCAACTTAAGTGTTCCTAGTTCTATCACTAAAAATCTGGCACCAATATGACTAGAGAAGAAAAGACTAATAGTTTCATTGGTCTCTAAGTAGAAAACTAGTATTGCAATGAATGAAAAATGTTCAAATATTAACTTGTCCTTAATATTTTTCTAACTTTATCCAACAACAGCTTAACAGTTGTTCCTTCTTTTGGTAATTTGTTCTCACTATATCTGACTTCAGTTGTATTAAGATTTTCTTTTTTGCAATGTCGTAAAATGCTTGGGCTTCCTGTATTCACCTGCTGGATATACATTTCTTTTTTTAATGTTCAAAATCTGACACACCTTAAACTCAGGTGAGCTGCACTAAAGTTACTGTGTAAGTATTGGTTGGATAGTTTGCCTAATTTCTGCCCTGAGAATAGAGTTAGCTGGGTCTTAGTTTCTTTTGCTATTGAGAATTTGCTTCAAGATTCCTCCTTTATGAGGAATATTAACTATTCTGACATACTCTTTGAAAAAAACATTTTTTTTTTGAGACAGGATCTCACTGTGTAATTCAGACTGGCCTTGAACTCACTATGTAGCCCAGGCTGGCCTTGAATTCATAGCAAGTCCTCCTGCCTCAGCTTCTGTAGTGCTGGAATTACAGGTGTACACTACTATGCCCAGCTCTAAAATTTGTTTGAGGCCATAATTTTTTAAAAAGATGAACTCTGAGCCTACTTTAAAATATATTATCATTCTGACCATGGCATGTTCCAAATTTTGATGTTTCTACTTCATTCTTGCCCATGTGTCTTGTGGAAAAACAGTTTTCTTCTTGTCTCGTTCAAGAATGAGCTCCCTTTGTCTCTTTAGGAGCTGAACTTACCCATATACATCTATGTATGTAGAAGCTACATTACCACTAAAAGAACAAAGCCCTTCAAGATTAGGTCCCCTAGAATTGTTTTTTACTAATTACTTATAAAATTCGTCTTAATTCTACTGAAACTTGAGTAATTATAACAAAAACAGTCCAGGTGTGCAGAGTGTTCCACAGATAATAACAGAAAGAGGTTAGAGTGAGGAAAAGGAAAAAGGAATAAGAATTCTTTTCTCAGAACATCATCTTACAGACCCATATCTATTCAGTGAATGTGTTGATGTGGTATTGTCACTAAGAAAGATTTTATAATAAATATATTTTAACTTTGTTGCTTGTGTCCTTAGGCTCCAGGTTATGGAGATGTTAGACTGTCTTTGGAGGCAATCCCAGACACTGTAAACCTAGAAGAACCTTTCCACATTACTTGTAAAATAACAAACTGCAGGTAATGCCAGTGTTTGTAGATGGATGTTCAGCCCAAAAAAGAACTTTTAAATCTTTTGAATATTGTCTTTTTAAATTTCTTTAACATATAGCTTTCTCTGATATTGTTGAAATACTGCAAAGTACTTTAACTTGTATCAGTATATTACATATTTTTGAAGACCTATTTTAGGCATTTTTCTGTACTTTTATTTTGTTTATCATCATACTTTAAGTGATAGATTTTAATTATTCACATTCTATGGAAGAAAAAGCCAACTCGGAGTGTAGATGATTTTCTCAAGCTTAAGAGCTAGAAAAGAAAGGGCCAGAAGGTGAAACCAAATACCAAATGTACTTGTTATCTATGTCCATGTTTTCTTTTTTTTTTTTTTTTTTCAGCTTTAATTGAGTTTATTGGTACATTTTAGGGATACAGTACAGTTACATTCATTGTTGGGATCTTGTACCTCCACATGACAAGTTGTCCATGTTCTTTTATTTTACACTTCCTTCACTTCAGATTACTAAAACACGAACTGATTCTTTTAGAATAATAATAGATAAAAAGTAGTGAGATAGATTTTTCTGGAGCATCCTTGTATGTGAGCTATATTTCAATATTAAGTAATCAAAAACTTGTTTATGAATTAAACATGAGATAAGTTGGAATTGTGTTGATAGTAAAGGAAAAATATAATGTACCTGTTAGGAAGCAGGGCTTTTAATTAAGGAACATGTAGAATTAAGTCCCAGTCTCATCTATCACTTTTGCTACTATTTATATTACCATTTGATGTATGGGATTAGTTGGGATATTCTGACAATATTGCAATGATAAGTCTCAACTCATATAGGATGAATATGTAATCCTTTTAATTATATGTCCATTACTATTTTTTGGCATTGGAGAAATAGGAAACATTCATCCTTCAAAATTACAGAAGTATCGGGCCGGGGATTTAGCTAAGTGGTTCCGCCACCTGCTTTGCAAGCGCAAAGACCTAAGTTCGATCCCCGGTACCAAACAAACAAACAAACAAACAAAATTACAGAAGTATCTACTTGTAGATACCTAGGACCCTTCCAAGCACAGTCAATCCTCTGTGGTAGCAAATTTGAATTAGAACACCTGTATATTGCTGTCTCCTCCTCACTGGGATTATGATTTATTCAAAACAAGGGACATGTCTTATCCAGCTTTGTAAATGCAGCACCTTCCGCATCAGAAGAGCTCACTAAACGAGCCATCTAAGGCAAAGATACTGTGCATCTGAATGTGGTAGGGATTTGTTTGTTTGCTTGAGTTTTATCAAGTATAGAAAACCTATTTATTGACCAAATGACAGTACATTATATTTTAAAAATTAATTCCTTTGGGCATTCACTTTAATATCTGGTGACTCGAAAATGTTTCTAAAAGCACTTAGATCTTCAGTTTCCTCAACAATAAAAATGTAACACAACACCCCCACACACACCAGCAGACACCTAGACACAGCATACATAAAACATATACAAAACTTAATGCATTATGGGACTTAATGAGAAAATTCATGTAGTGCATCTAGCCTGATTTTGGCACATTATAATGGGTATTTCAAATGTTCATTAGGGAAATAGATATATAAAAGCTAGTATAACATCAGTATGTCTAAAAAGGCAGTAAATTATTTTTAAATATGGAGCCAACTATGAGGAAGAAGAGCTAAAAGAGTTGAAAGTAGCCATGAATGGTGGTAGAGTAGATGATCTCCTATTATCAGCCTCTTGACATAATTACATTAAAATTAATTACATTAAACTTAACATGTTTAAACTATACTAATGGCGTCTTGTAAAAGCAGAAAACTTCTGGTGCTGAGTAGTAAGTGAGCAACTATGAATAGTATTTTCTAAGTTACTTCAGTGCTTAAGGAACACATGCTATTTATTGAAAGTACTAGACCAGGCTGTTTGTCTTTTTCTGTCCTATAGAGTAACCAATAGAAACTGTAAGAATGCATAGCAACAAAGAGACACAATGTCTGTAAGTTTCCCAGATATGTGTCAAAGCCATTAACAAACCAGCACTAAGGAAAAAGGGCTGGATAATAAAACCAGAAGACTTGATTTTCTGCAGGCAGATTAGTCTAAATTCATTTAAAGGCCTAAGAGATGTCATCTCTTCATTTTCCTGATTCTGAGGTGAAATGAAATTAATGTAATAGATTGCCCATCTTCTTTCTCATTTTTATTCTCCTAGACCCTTAGAAAATAAATTTACTAACAAAAGTAAAAGAACTATCACAGTTATCTCCCTGTGCAATGAATAAGATTTATTCCCGTTATTCTGATTCCTCTGGCAGTGAAAGGACTATGGATCTGGTTTTGGAAATGTGTAATACCAATTCTATCCACTGGTGTGGCATTTCAGGAAGACAGCTTGGAAAGCTGCACCCAAGTTCCTCTCTCTGCCTTGCTCTGACTCTGCTGTCTTCGGTACAAGGACTACAAGTATGTTCTTTTTCAGTATTATGTGCGAATTTATTGTCTTTTATTATAGCTGTATTTTCATTGAAATTTACCAATGAAAGAAAATTGAACCTCATTTCTCTCTTTCAATAGAGCGTCTCCGGCTTAAGACTTACAGACACATTCTTAAAGAGAACATATGAATATGATGACATTGCACAAGTCTGTGTAGTATCTTCAGCCATTAAAGTTGAGAGCTAAAGAAAATTTCCAGTGTGATGTTTTCATTTAGTTTCAGAGAACTGCTTTATTTCTATATTTTATCACCTTTGTGAAACTATGAAATCAGTCGTAGAAGTATAATTTCAATTTCTTGCCTGTAAAACAAATAAAATATTAAATGCTTGGAAAGTATGGATTTTATCTTGGGTTAATATTCTGAGTGAACATTTCTGTATTTTCTACATATATTTCATTTTAGATGATCATTAAACTTTGTTCTCCAGAATCTTTGTATTTGTCTGTTTGTCCTTAGGAAGTAAGTAAAATAGAAGTCAACAAACTTGTTTTGTAAAGGGTCAAGATACCAAATATCTAAGGCTTTTGCAGGCAAATCATGATCTTTAAAATTTCCTACAGCACAAGTAGGTAAAGTGTAGTGGTGTTTACAAAACTAACACTTGGATAGGTCTGGGCTGTGGGGCCCTGGTTTGGTGATTTCCATTTAGGAAATACAGTTGTTTCTTAGAACTTTAGAGTTTTCATAATACTTTATTTAGAACTATTTCATTTAACTCCAGTTTTTCTCCTAATCAATAGAAAAGATTTGTTTAAAACAACTGATGTAGTCTCTCTGTAACCTGGTCATTTGCTAACACTTGTTTTCAAAATTATTGTATTGTCACATGTCTGACTTTCAGAAACTGAGCAGATCAGAATTGGTTTTATTTCTTAGGTTGCTCACTAGTCAGTTAACTTTTTTTTTTGGTACCAGAGATCAAACTCAGGACCGTGCATTTGCAGGGCAGGTGCCCTAAGCTAAATGTCCAGCCCTACTCAGTTAACTTTTAACTAAGATGCTAAATTATTTTCATAATACATATTCCAAGCTTCTGATGATTGATTTTGAATTCTGAATCTCTCCATGTAATCATATTTACACCATTAACAAAACAGAGTTATGGCTATAAATAGCTGTGCAACATGAATGTAACAGAATTTCACTATTTTATCAGAAAAACAAAAGTTTATAAAACCTATTTTCATAAATTGAACAAGACTGTATCATTTCCTAAATGTAGAGTACATTAAGTAAAACACAAAAACTGGTTTTTCTTAAACACATAATTATTTATTGCCATGACAAACTGGTCCAGACTGAAAGCTATATTCAGAAGGGTTGCCCCTCAAATTGAAGTAATAATTAATGAAATGTCTGTGCAATGTAAAGTGCAAGCAGTATAAAATTGAAGTATGTCATTCATTCAAGATAACTGATTGACTAAATGATGAAATAAAACTTACAGCCACTGTACTGGGTACTTTGTGTTTCAAGCATCTACTCATGACAAGCTGTTTCACTCTTTTGAATTTTGAAAGTAATATATAATAGTCACTTATATACTTCGATGTAATTACAAAGTCTCTTCTCTTTATAAACAATAACCTAGTCACATTGTTCATACTTTAAAGGTTAAATAATGCCATTTTTGAAAGGATTTGTGTAAACTATATTATAAAACTTAGATTAACAATTTGGTACATGAAATACAAATGTCATTTGCATAAAAAGGACATGTTCGGTTTTACAGAACAGCTACTACAATGAAATTCAGTTAATGAAAGTCAGGCGTTCCTAATTAGAAGTAGTTTACTTTAATGCCTTCTTATTTCTGTTTGATAGCAACTATATTTTCCACACAGGGAAAAATAATATCAGGGGCATTCCTTATAATTTAAGAGTGGCTAATACAATCACACCAATCAAAACATTCACGAAATAGCTTGCAATGCAATGCACTTTGCATCCAAAGTGATGAAGGGACCTGAGGAAAAAAAATGGCTTCAATAGCATCGAAATCTAAGTGGAGAAGATCATCTAAATTGAATTTATCAGGGTTGGTATATTCCCAAAGAAACAAACTAGAAAAGAATATACCAGTTCCCATTATTTCATGTAAAAAGAATAGCTAACTCTAAAGATAGTAACATATAAAGACAACGTTTTAAAGAAGTGCTTTTTCTTAAGATGTCTGATTTTGTTATCTGGTACAAATGGCCAAATAAAATGAATTGGATTATGTTTCCCTCTTCTGTTTTCTGGAAGAGAGTGTATAGAACTGATATTTCTTCCCTAAGTATTTGGTAGAATTCATCATTGAAGTCATCTGGGCTTACAGTTTTCTATTTTTTTGGATGGTTAACTATAAAGTCAATTTTCTCAACATAATATAGGCCTATTTAGGTATCTCTGTCTTCAAAGAACTTTGGTTGTGTTCTACAAAGTACTGGTCTGTTTTGTCTAAGCTGTTGAATATGTAGCTCTATAGTTAGTAGTAATGTTTCTAATTATACTTTTAATATCTACAGATCTGTAGTATATGTTTGTTCCTTTTTTTTAAATGGTATTGGGGATCAAACCCTGGGTTCTCATCATGCTAGGCAAGCACACTATTCCTGAGGTCTGTATTTCCAGCCCTATTCTTTCATTGCTGATACTGGTAATTTGTTATTTTCTATTTTCCTAGTTAGTCAACTAGAAGCTTATCAGTATTATTGATCTGAAAGCGGGGGTGTGGGGTGAGTGGGGCCTCTTCAATTACATCTGCAGCCCTTTTTTTTATTTTGAGACAGGGTTTTACTAAGTCACTAAATTGCCCAGGCTTGGCTTGAACTTATCATCCTCCTGCCTCAGCCTCCCAGAGTGACTGGCATGTACCACCACCATGCCCAGCTCTGAAGCTTTTTTTTTGGTGTGGGAATCAAACTCAGGACCTTACACCTTCTGTGCTGCTGAGAAGCCCACCGGCCCACTCTGAAGCATTTTTAATGAATCTATAAAATAACTGTGCTAGAAATGCTAATTTCTTAACACTAGATAAGAATAACTATTAATTCTTACTTAAGGACCAACTTTGTTTTTACCAGAGTACTTTTATGTGATTACTACTTTATTTTGTGTAATATTTAAAACTTAAGGGTTGGGTGTAAATTCATACATACTAAGATGGTTTAGACAGACTATAGGAAATTTAATTTCAAGAGGCTTCAGATTTAAGTCCTGCGTTTCTCAAGCCAAAACCATATGCTACTACAGGTCTTCATTTTAGCCGGAGCCCAAATGCTTAGGCATTTTCTGGTCTAGCTGGGAAGAAACCTCTGTCCTAGTGTTGCTCTAAATTTAAGCTCTTGAAAGGTATGGTAGCACATGCCTGTAATCCCAGCACATGGAAGACTGAAGCAGGATTGCCAAGAATTTTAGGTCAGCTTGAAACAAATAAATTTAAGCCCTTGGACCTGCATCAGAACCACATTATGTAGCCCTTAAAATGATTTCTGTGAACACTGTGGTACAAACCTTTAATTAAAAATATTCAGGAAGCTAAGACAGGAGGATCAGAAGCTCAAGGCCAGCCTGGGGAATTTAATAAGACCTTATATCAAAATAAAAAGGCTAAGGATATAGCTCAGTGATTTCATGATTAAGAAACTAGAAGTTCCAGTTGGAATTAGAAATATCTCATTCATCATTGTTCTTAAGAGTCATGCCATTAGTACCTAATGCAATTTCCCTCCACTAATGTGGCATCTAAGTCATAATAAAACCTTTTAAATCTCATGTTTAAATTGCATCAAATTGAACCAGGGAATTTAGCTCAGTGGTGCTGTGCCTGCCTCACAAACATAAGGTTTTAAGTTTGATCCCCAGTACCAAAGGGGGCAAAAAAATTGCATCAAACTAAGGTTAAGCTTAAGATAGGTCCACTGAGCTAAATTATAGCAGAGGATTATATGGATAAACAATGTTAGTGATGTTATCCATTAAATAATGATTTTTTAAATCAATGATTATGGGCACATAATTAAATTACACTTAGAATATCCTTAACTTAGGGTCTAGCCATTGGCCTTGTGTGCTAATTAGGTATATCTGGTAATTTCTAAGGTAAGTTCACAACCAGAGAAATTGTGGTAATTCAGTTAGTTATATCACTGACCTAACCAGTACCATTAAGGACCTCTAGATGTATTTTATTATGTATTTAGCATAAATGGCCATGCTAATGTTATTAATACTAAGCTACAGATGAGATTATTTAAGAACTCTGCAGAAAACCTGAGCATCCTATCTTTGCTCCCTATATATTCACATTATCTATTTTTCCTTTCCTCAAAACATCCATTGCACCAAATGCTACTTTTCACCAGCCCTTAGACTCTCACTAAATTGCCCAGGCTTGGCAAGAGGCTCAAGAGGGAGCAATAAAGATAGTACTTGCACCTATGATATATATTCATTATTGAGAGCATTTATCAAACCTAAAGTTGCTTCTCTCCTGATATACTGCCCAGAGTTTCTTCTAAACCAGTATGGCAAATCTTTCCCCTTATCTCCCCTCTCAAAAAAACTTAAGGTAGCTTGGAGCTAAAGAACCAATGAACAGTACTACAATTCAATAAATACATTCTGCTATTAAGTCTAATGTACAAATATGATAAAAGATTGGAAATGGATGGAACTTTGTCTGAGTACTATACTGGCACTTAACAAGGCTAGTGAGCATTCAATTCCAAAGGAGTCATGTTCCAGTCTCTTGGTGATAAAACTATTGTCTAAACAAATTTGTTCTTTAAGAATACACACAGGAGGTTTTCCTCCATTATTTTGTTGTTTTTTTATTTTTGGCTACTATATACACTGAATACTTCATAGCCATAAACCAGTTTCATTCTGGGCTAGAGTCCCTGATCAAGTCAGGAATGTTCGTCAGTGCTGCTGCTGAATGATCTGCTCCGGATATGATTTCTCAGTTGCTCTATAAGTTCAGGATTCTGTTGTTGTATCTGCTGAGCAAACTGCTGTCCCCTGTAAAAAGACAAAGTACATCCATAAAGACCAGTATGTCTATATAGCATTATTACATTGCAGAGTTCTTTATAAGAAATAAAACACTCAAGCTAAAAAAGTGTCTGAATTAGGTGAAATCTACCAAAGATTGATCACAAAGAGCTCAGAAGTGAGAGCCACGCCTGCTCCCGACCCAGCAGCCATCGCTCAAGCACCGGGAAGGTGAACCCCTATAAGCCACCCCTCCCCCTGCGCACTCTCAGTCCTCCTGACTGTGCCAGTCTTTGGACCCACTCTGCTGAGGCAGAGGTGGTCATCAAGGGTATTTTTCTGAGTTCCCCACTTTGAACATCTTTAAAGAAAGGGCGTGGGAAACCTGTAATAGAACGTTGTGGAGTTCAACCATTCAGAAGGTTGGGGAACTCAATCTGGGCCTTGCAGCCCGAGGTCAGTCAGCGTCATGGGGTTCAGCCATCAGCTAACTGAGATCAGGGGTCTTGCATCCTCGCTCTGTCTGAGCCATTAAATGGTAAATACACTATATTGAAATTTTGTTCACCGCAGACATGTTCTGGACTGCTTCTTGATTTCAATTTAATTCAAATGATTTAAGGGTGATAGACTAGTGACTACCACAGGTGGTCAGTGTCCAAGTTGTGCTTCATCTTAATGTGTCGCTGATTGTATCAGTTGGGGTAAAGCATTGCGGTTGATTTGATGAGCTGTTTTCTCTGATGTTATGAAGATAAGAATGTCTGTGGGTCGTTAGAGACACAGAAGCTAGGGCGCAACTATATCAGGAAGATTTGGGTGACAATCCAGAGATTAAACCAAGGACAGTCCGACAACAAAAATTAAAATGAGAAAACACTTAAGCAAGATACAAGGACAGACTTCCAGTTTACCAATGGCAAACAGTAGGGCAAATGAGGATGAAAAGGCTGATAGTGAACCACCAGGACACCCTGAACTCAAAGCACAGGAAGTATCAAAACAGATCAATCAGGCTCTGGAAAAATTCAAAACAGAAATAATTTCCCAGATAACCATAGAGATAGTGAGCAAAATGGAAGTCGTGATTCGAGACTCTAGAGCAGAAACTGACAAAAAAATAGATGAGCTCAGGACCATGATAGAAGACATGAAGGCCCAGCATAAGAAAGAAATGGAAAAAATAAACACCCAACATAGGAAAGAAATGGAATCCATAAAACAGATTCAAACAGATATCCAGGAGATTAAACACTCTATTGAAAGTGTACGCAACAGAATAAAAGAATGAGAAGATAGGCTCTCAGATATACAAGATAAGATTGCACTCAGTGACCATGAAAAGAGAGGTCTCTTAAAAACAGTAAGAGATCATGCATGAGATATCGATCCAACAACTCCTAAATGAATGCAAAGAAGAATAACATAAGACTGATAGGAATACATGAAGTAGCAGGAGAAAAGACAAATGACTTTAAAAAGCTGTTCGCAGAATTAATGACAGAAAACTTCCCAAACAGAGGGGAAGAAGTTGACATTCAGATAACTGAGGCATATAGGACCCCAACTAGCTACAATAAAAAAAAAATCTACACCTAGACATATAATAAGATCCCAGAAACCCAACAGAAGAACAAACCCAACAGGAACAAAATACTACAAGCAGTAAGAGAAAAGAAACAAATCACATACAAAGGAAAGCCCATCAGAATCAAAGCAGACTTTTCAACACAAACCCTTGGGGCAAGGAGAGCCTGGAATGAGATATTTCAAGTATACT